TATATATATATATATAAAATATTTCTGCATGCTTCTCTGATACGATTTTTCATATTCTCTACAATCGTAGATTCTTTGGAATAAACTTGACTTTTGATATAACCCTAAAGATAAAAATCTAGAAGCGTTAAGTCTGGCGATCTTGCAGGTCATTCTTAAATTCGACTTCCCATATCAATCCATCTATTAGGGAACTTTTTTCGTTAATAAAAAATAAATAAATATTCTTTAATTACTCGAGATCTATGAGCCGGTGCTTGATCTTATTAAATCCATACTCGATTGAGCACATTATTATCGACTTGTCTCAAAAGGTTAAACATTAAACAGGTCATTTCTGAGAAATATTAAGTAATTGGCCGCAGTAAGGTTTTCTTAAAAAAAATATAGACCAACAATAACAATTCTCCCAAAATGCCCGCCCAGACGTTAATAAACCATTGCTTCTTAGCTTCTTTGCTAATGTGGATTAACAGCTGAATAATAATGACAATTGTGTTCATTAACATCACCTCTGTTACCGAATGGTGGCTTCGTCTGAAAAAAGAACTTCAGAAAAAATCTAAGATTTTCTCAGATTCGATCTCGAGTCCAGTTACAAAAACATAAACGGCATTGGAAATCTCCCTCTTTTAATTGTTGGGTTAAATGAATATGGTATGGGTAGAACTTGTAAGCCTTGAGCACAAAATTGACTGTTGATTTAGATATGTCTTGTTTCTTTTTCTATTTTTCGCGTTGGTATCTAGGGATTTAGAAAAACGGTATCTAGAACAATTAGAAACGTGGTTTCATTAGCGCTAGATTTTTTAACGTATTCGTTTGAGAGTATCCTGTCGTGTCCTTTCTTTTAATTACCATCCTCTTAGGATGACGTCTATCTGGAAATGTCTATCTGGAAATATCTGGAAATTTCGGCATAAATCTTTTCAGTTGTCATATAATTATTCCTGGCCTCACCTAAAATTCTGATCATAACCACAATTTCGTTAGGCGTGGAGTAATCAGCCATATATAATTACAGGACAATAGAAAACCTTGTGAAAACATTGAAAGTATTAAATTCGCCACGAGTTAACTCTTACGATTAGCAACAATGCAGACAAGTGACGCTAGCAAGTGAATGACACCAACTATGATTATTAAAGAAATTTATTAATGGGATTTCATGTATTTCTTTGCGTTCAAGCCTCGACAAACGAGAGATAATGAAATGCGCGTCCCGCGAGATCCCGAATCCCTCTCAGTCATCGCGCACGTGATAGGCAGTTCTAGGAAGACGAGGTGAAAATGGAGAGATAGCAAAATACACTAGACTGTGGCAGCTGCATCTCCAGTTAGCCAGCGATAGGAATATGCTTCTTGATATCCTGAAGTAAGACGATTTTTGGCTGAACATATGATGCAATTTTGAGTCGGGACCACAAAGAAGCATTGTGACCTTCATATGATCCTTTAGAGTCAATATGTTACCCCATTATTTACAATTATTTTCATATTTATATAAAAATTGAAAATACGAAGAACAACCTCCAATCGCCTTGACCTTGATAGATGTTATCAAGATGATGACCTTGAACAATATTCAAAAAGTGTTAGCCGTCGAATACCTTGAATATCAATGCTAATGCCAACAACATTGTGATTTTGAAGCCTTTTAACTCGAAAAGTATTTAATGAAAGAATATTTAATTATAGTGTTTTGGAAAGCTCTAGAGATATGCTATAAGAATATATAATGAAAAATGGGGGGTTCCATTTAAAAAATTCAAAGTGATCTTGTCCTGACCTTGACACTCAAGGTCAAACCAATGTTATCATCTTATGTCCCCTTCGAAATCCCAAAACTTTTGTCTGGAACATTTTTCCCCAAAATGCACTGTTCAAGAGATATTTGAGGTGATCAATTAAAATGGAATATCCTGTATATATTAGGCTCATCCATACACTCCTTTTACCTCGGAAAAAAAGCATTTAGAAAAATACGTTTTAGACAAAAGTTGTGGAGTTCTAAATCATCTATTTAGTGATCTTTTCAATAAAATTATCGATTCGCGAGAATTCAGATAATCGACTATATATCACTTAAAATAAAACACTGTACACACATACACACACGCGCGCGCGCGCGCGCGCGAAACTACATACTTTGGAAGACCAAGGTTCTTGAGCGATACTAATACGTGATGATTTATGATTATTTATTTATATGAGAAGTTGTAAGTAAACCTGCAGAGGTTAGAAAAGACAAAATGTAACAACAAAGTTTTGTATAGAGACATTAAGTATAGAGGATAACTAATTGATACATTTCGTGCATCTTGATAATGCATTTGACGTGTGGTTTTGTCAAAGAAGTACGAGCGGTCAATGTTCAGCAACAGATTATATTTGCGGAGAAAACTGTACGGTATTCATTATCGCAGTGGACTGCATGAACACATCGATTCAATTATGGAGATCGTAGATCAATTAAGAGGATCAGGAAAAACCTCTCGAGAACGAGGAAGTCATCGCAGTATTACTAGAGAGTCTTCCAGAGTCCTATTCGTTACACCACTCGTTACAGCGCTCGAAGGTAGAGACGAGGCAAATTTAACAATAGAGTATGTTACCAGAAAAATGCTAGATGAACATCAAAGTGGTCAAGCGACAAAAATACTGAAATGGCGCTTCAGATTGCAGTTGCAATTTCTAATAAAAATAATAATAGCCACCATAATAGTAATACTAAAGGCAAAAAAGGAAAAAGGTATAATAAAAGAGACAACAAGGAAACGCGAACATGTTTTTTTGTAGTAAGTCAGACCATGTCAAAGCTCATTGTTTCTCATT